GATAAAAAGCAAAGGGGATAGAGGATCCCCTTGCTTAACCCCTCTAAACGGCTGAAAATAACCAAACGGAGCACCATTAATAATAATGGAAATAAAAGTGGCCTTTAGGTTGCCCATAATCAACTGTCTCACACGTGTATCAAAACCAAACTTGTTCAAAATGGCTTCTAAGAAATCCCACGCCACCCTGTCAAACGCCTTAGCCATATCAAGCTTTATCACAATATTAGAGGCTCTAACTTTTTTATTCAGATGATGTAACATTTCAAAAGCAACTAAAATCTGATCTTTAATGTCTCTATCCTTCATGAAACCAGATTGCTCTTTTGATATTATCTTAGGAAGAATACCCACCATTCTGGAATCTAGAATACGCGTGTTAATTTTGCTGATAAACGTGGAAAGACATATCGGCCTAAAGTCCCCAAAAGAAGTGTAATTTTTCTTTTTTAGGGATTAGAACCATATGTCTACTGCCCACACTCCTAGGAATATTCATCCCCGTGAAGAACTCCTGCACCGCCAAGAGCACATCCTTCTTAAAATCCCAGCGCCCTCTCTATAAATTTCCCCCAAAACCGTCAGGCTCTGGTGCAGCGTCAGGACTAAGACTCCAGATCGCTTCACGAACTTCCTCCTCCCCAGGAAGCATAACTAAGGTATCATTATCTGCTCTTTGTATGATTCTGGGGATGAAATGAAGAACCTTGTCATGCTTCGAAGTTTGTTCCAACTTGTAAAGGTCAGAAAAGAAATCCACTCCTTCCTTCCCAATATCCTGGTTGTCATAGCACCATTCCACACTTTGGTTTTTAATAGCCAGAATATGTTGTCTGCCAATCTTGTCTTTAATTGCTTGATGAAAAAATTGGGTACTAGCATCTCCACGTTTCATCCACTTCACATTAGCCTTTTGTTTCCAAAAAGTCTCTTGTTGTTTTAACTTTTTTAAGAACTCATCTTGCTTCCGGTGCCAGTTAGCTCTTCAAACTTCTGTAGGATTAATTTCAAAAGCCTTTTCAGCGTCCAAAGCTTCTAATTCTAGTCTTTTAGCCTCTCCAAAAACATCCCCAAATACTTCTTTGTTCCATTTTTCAAATCAGCTTTCAAGGACTTTAACTTCACACCCAACCCACGCATTCCTCCAACTGTAGGGTAACTCCCCCATTGTTTTCTAATGAAAGACATAAAACCATCATTTAAGAATGAAACTGGCGTGCCCCCCCCCCCCCACCTCATTCGCTGCATCACACATTAATAGGATCAGACAGTGGTCTTAAGGTGTTTTTAGAAGATGTTGAACTTTGACCGCTTCAAACTTCAAAATGAAAGCTTGATTAGCAAGGTAACGATCCAATTTTTCCCAAATACGACCATTTGATCTCATACTTGTCCAAGTATAAGAAGAACCAATTGTTGGCAATTGTTGTAAAGCGCATTCATCAATACATTCACTAAAATCCAACATGTCATTAATCGGAGGAGATGAGGGACCTTTATATTATGAAATAGACGACACCACATTAAAATCTCCTCCCAAGATCCATGGTACCTCTTCCCCTTGAGCGAAATGAAGCAAGCCACCCCATAATCGAGCTCTTTCCGGTCTGGTATGAAGCCCATAAACCGTAGAAAAAACAAACTCAAAACCCAGCGGTATATATACAACCTTAACCAGTAAAAACACATCCTCTTCCGAGATAGACATGACATCAAAAGAGCGAGAATGCCACATAATCCATATTTTATAAGAAGCAGCCATATACAAATTAGAAAAACCCAAACTATGCATATAGAAATCAACCTTATTACGATCTATAATAGGATCTAAAATAGTAACAAAATCAATGAAATAGTGCCTAATGATTTTACGTAACCTCGGGCACGAAGAAGCGAGGCCACGTAGATTCCAAGTGAGAAGCTTCATAAGGAAACATCTAAGGAGGGAGCCTTAGTGTTCCTCTTAGCCACCAATCTCGTGAACATCGACCGAGGAGGAGGATTCTCTTTGATTTTTTGCCTTGACACCAACCCCATATCCTCAGACTTAGATAAAAAAGAATCCACCCTTGACTTTAGTTCACCACATACCTCCTTCCAGATTTCCTTTGTGATAATCTGTCCTCCGTTGGATTCCCTTCAGAAGTATAACCATGTTGTTCAATGGTCTCCACCTCCTCTACCACTCTAGGATTATCTTCCTCAAAGGAAATCAGTCGGGTGACATCCGTCGTAATGTTATTTGCTACACCTTCACTTAGTCCTTCTAAAACTATTTCCATTTGTTTTTGCGTGGCTTCCCCTTGACCCTGATCATTCTCATGCAGGACTTCCCCTTCTTCAATTTCATCCTCCTTCAAACAGCTTACCCCTTCTTCCTGTTGAGATGGAGTTTCCTTTTCGTTTTGCTTATCAATAGTTGATTCCTTCAAATATAGAACCCCTCTAGGTCAACTTCCCTTGCTCGCTCTTCACATTGATCCAACAGCAAGACTGCCTCAACAGCCTTTCTTGAAGATTCTGATTTGTCATGCAAAATAACTTTCTCATGTCCCTCCATCTTTTCCTTACCTTTCTTTTTCGTAACTTGAATCCACTGATTAGGAGCTGGCTGCACTTCTTTTACCATGGCCTTAGTTTCAACCTTAGAAACCTTATTATTAATGCTTCCCTCCAACCTTTTGGAAGAACCACAATCCACCTTATTATGACCAATCTGACTGCATTTCGTACTGTCACGCCCCGGACCTAGTCGGACACGTCAACAACCCGCCGTACAGTACGAATAGTCAACCGCAGTCCAACTCATCCATACTATACAAGGCGTCTTGAATATCATTCACACGTAGTACACCCATAAACAAACATAATGTAAAACATTTATTTAAAACAGCGGAAACATTTAATATAAGAGTTTATGCCACACTTTGGCAAACATGGACATACAAGCCCCCAAATAGTTATTCAGAAAAAGTAGTATCCATGAGCATTGTTATAATCGTTTTAAAACAGAACCGGAGGAAGCACGAACCACGTCTTCTCTCCTAGGATCTCCCCGAAGCCACAGCCAATGGTAGCAAGCTCAGCTCCTACCTGAAATTGTGAGGTGGCCTCCCCCGTGAAGGGGAGGTCAGTACTTGGAAGCATTTGACAAGTACAATGACAACTATACTAAGTATAATCAATGTTTCAATTTCGAAGACCCTAAATCTAGGGTGATATTATATTATAGGCCATAACCCTCGGTTACCCCTTTTATAAAAATGTACTTACTTTATGTAAAGTCAAGTAATCGGCCCGTGGGCACATATTCATTTAGAATTCACCATTTTAATTCCCCGTGACTACTAGTCACGCCAACCCCATAGGGTTCCCCTGAGTCCCGATTATATAGCAAGGGCTCGGCCCAACTACATTTCTATACAACCCTTCAACTCAATTTAACACATTAAAATTATATGGCAAGGGCTCGGCCCAACTACGTTTCCATACCAACCACAACTTCGTGACAAGGGCTCGGCCCAACTACGTTTCCACGAAGATCACAAATACATGGCAAAGGCTCGGCCCAACTACGTTTCCATGCTAATCACATTACATGGCAAGGGCTCGGCCCAACTACATTTCCATGTCATCCTAGAGTCCGACTCTGATTCATTTTCGTAGTCCAATTTTCAAGCAAATCTCATGGCTAGAATCAACCCACTTGGATAGCCTTTAGGCTTACCCCTAACACACCTTAGTGTTCATTCAATTCAACCTTAAAGTATCTCTTAAGACTACTTAAGGCAAATCTATTCACAATCCTATCCCTTAGGATTAATTCCATTATATTATTCTCCCGACTAGTATTTTAATACTAGTAGGTTAGTCTTAGAACATATCAAGTTCTTAATCCAAATTGACATTTCTTTTCAATTGATTTTCCAATCCAAATATAATTTGATCCCAATATCAAAAATATCACTTTTATCCATTCATGAATTTCATACATGAAGTAAAAGTATATTTTATCACAATATTTACATAGTTAATTCCATTCTCATGTCATTCCTTTCATGCCATATAATCATACACAATTTAATCTAAATTTGTATATCATGCTTCTTTTACTCATATCAATAGTATTTTCATTTAAGCATTATTACTCATTAATAACCCATGAAAATCACTTTTAATACCTTAGGAAATCTTGTGAAATTAACTCACTAATTATAAGCAATATAGTCAGACATCTTCACCTCGTGATGTGCTACAATAGTTGCCTTTGTTAAGACCCTCGATCAATCCCCGTTCTAGGCCGATTGAAAGTGGAAAACTGGATTTCTGGGCAAAAGCCGGGTGGCTTTCACGAAAGTCGGGCGATGTTCGTCCTCCTGCAACACGAACAGCTTCCTATATGTGGCGGTTTCTGGCGATTTCGACTCCTATCGATTCACCAACTCTTCTAAGTTAATTACCACCATTATATATCAACATTCTACACTTTTTAAACGTGTAGAACTTCATGTTTACTCCACCATATGATTTCTTGAAAATCATACAACATAAACTAGTTACAAGAGTAGAAATTGTATTCTTACCTCTTCTTCTAACCTTTTCTTGTTGAGTTCTTTCTTCTTCTCGATTCCTCCACGTTAAATCTTTGTGAGAGGTTTCTCCTGGAGCTCTTCTCCCTTAGCTGATTCGGATGGTTCAAAATGGAGAAGGGGGTGTCTCTTTCTCAATCAAATCGATAGCCATGAGGGGGTGTGGGTTGTCTCCAATCACTCTTCCATGTGTGAGTCCGCCCCACCCCATATTCTGTTGTCCCTCCAGCTCTCCTTTGTCAACTTAGAGCAAATAAAACGTGGGGTGGCCCCCACTTATGTGGGAGGTCATCCCATTATGTCCCGGTGTGTATAATTGGCCCCGAAAGTTGTATTTTTCGGACTATTTTAGTCATATTTTATTTTATCGGGCCGGATAAAATATATCACGCGTTCCCAATAATTATGGGCCTTTAGAGTAGATGTACATTTCCCAACATTAATTTAGGAGTCTCCGAAATTCACTTCGGGCTGTTATCCGCTAAATTACCAATACCGGTAATTGGGCCCCGTTTGACCAACCGGTCAACTCCATGCCTTTCTTATGGCCCAAATAAAATATCCACCTCCATATAGATGTCATCTAGACCAAGATGAATATAATATGTGGTTCGGGAATTATCGGGCGGTCCCCGTTCCCGCCGTGGGCCCCACATGCAATTTACTATTCATGTAACAGCAAAAAGTAAAATTTAACAATTACGTAAATTCATAACTCATCCTTCAAGGTTTATTACATAATTTACTAAAAGTAAACATGCTTGGGGGCGGTGTCACACGTACAGTATGACGGCAAATCGTCGTAAAAAACAGGCTGAATGATCTCCTTACTACCATTCAAAATCAGAACCTTTGAAGGTATTTCATGTAATAAGTCTAATTCCACACACACTTTTCCAGTTGATGGCCGAGTATGATTTAAAGTTGTTGCATCCACTTTAAGCAGTTTTCCAATCATACCCGCAATAGAAAAAAGAGGGCTCTTATCATGCAAATGTAACGGTAAACTATCAAAAGAGATCCATACCGGTACAATTGGCGACTCAACATCCGGATGGAAATCCGGAGTCCACCGCGAAATCTTCATCCTGAAACCCTTGATGCCCCATAGATATCGAAGCCAACATCGTTGAAAGTCTTCCTCCCTCGAGAACTTGATAAAAACATGACGCTGATCAACTAATCCGATCAAGGCAAAACGATGTTGAGAAGCTAGGGTTGAAACCTCTTCCTCCGAAAATTGAATAGTCAACATACCTTTATGCCTAAAAGAATCTTTCAATGGAATTTCTTTGTTCGCTGCTAGCACCTCTGCAAAGGAAAGCGTCGCCACCCCCCGACCCAGCGGCCGAGGTGGCCCATGCAGGCGTCTTCGCCATAAACCCTAGGTTGCCACTATTTCTCCTGCTAAGCTCTGTGTCCTTTGAAAGATATATATATATATATATATATATATATATATATATATATATATATATATATATATATATATATACATACACCCACACACACAGAACAGATCATGTCCAGCCGGAGGGACATGATGCTACGTCCGGCCACCGTCGTTTGGGTCAGTTTCTAGTGGAATTATTATATGAAATGTTTTGAGCATGTTACTCATCAAGTCTAGTTTATTCATACCAAATTTCAGCTAAAACTTCAATCGGGAAGACAATCAAATAAATTTTTGAATATGACTGCATTTAATATGTACATTTTGTTGTTGTTATCTAAAAAAAATTATTTGAGTGCCTTCTCAAATGAGTTTTTTAGCTAAACTTTTTTTATAAACTATACTTGATGGGGAATATGCTCAGAAAATTTCATCAAATATTTCCCAGAGAACTGCCCCAAGCGGCGACGGCCGAACGGAGCATCATGTCCCTCCGGTTGGACATGATCATTTCTCTATGTTTGTGTGTGTGTGGGGGGGGGGGGGGGGGGGCAATAAGGCAGTGTATATAACTATTTATTGGATCAAATTTGTGTAGTTTTGCAACTTATTAACATAGTTTTAGTTTTCACGATTCAACTATGAATTGTAAATGATAATATTCAACCAAGAATGGAAAAGAAGAATGGTGTGGTTTTCTATTATATTTAAGAATTAGATGATATGGGATAAAATCCCTTGGGTTTCTGGTATGGGATAAATCACACTGTAAACTCCTCATTTTCCTAATTTTCTACTACAAAATGTATTTTTTGTAAAATTTCCTTCCAAAATGGGAAAATGAATAAAAAAAAGTGTGTGAATAAATTAATGATAAAAATTTACGGAGAAAAAAGAAAAAATGAACCAAGGGTCTGTTTTGAGCAGATTCGTGAAAGGTGAGATTATTTATGTAAGTTCACGAACAAGTCAAGGTCCAACGAAAGAAAATGTGGTACAAATGTGGAATTATTCTGAAATACGTACAAGTGGGATTACTATTAGTAGATCGGCCAAAGGTAAAATTATTCTTGTAAAATTTTCCAAAAAAAAGCAGGGCTAGACAAGACAGGGACCGGTGGTGAACCGAAATAAGCCGAGGATTTGAAATATTGATCTCATCTCGGGCTTAACATTTTTTTTACTATCTGGTTCGGGAATGGAATCAGTTAGGACTAGAACCATGTCCATGCCTAATGGTAAAAATAAATTTGTAGTCAGCTACATAAAAAATGGAAAGTTACAAAGATGAATGCTAAACCACTATAGTAGACATCATAGTAATATTCTTTGTTCAATAAAACTTGACCAAAATTGGCTTGCGTGTGCAATAATAAAAGAAAAACTATATACTCCCGCCATCTCATTGGATTTTGCAACTTTTTTTTTATTGTCCCAAAAAACTTTGTCGATTTCCTATTAAAGTAACTAATTTGTGATTTTGCACATTCCTCTCTTCTCTGCACAAATCCAACCACACAGTTTTTACTATTCTTATTTCTCACTTATTTTGCATTTGGCAAAGTCCACCGGGACGAAGATAATAATCAATATTTTTGCAAAAAGAGAAATAACTTTAATCACATAATAGTATTTTTTATTTGAGATGAAAATGACAAACTTTTTGGAGCGACAAAATAAAATAAGTTGACATCATCTTATAGAATAAAGACAATAAGATACTCCCTCAATGCCATAAAAGTATGGATGGACTCGAACCAGGTGGCCCGACCCGGAACCAGCCCGGGACTGGCACTATTCCATCCCGGCCCGACCCGATGGCCCGGTCAGTGACCGGTCCAGGTAGGTCCAACCCGTGGGTTTTCCGGTCCAGGCTCGGGTCACCCAAAACAAAGCCCGACCCGGCTGAGCACGAGCCCGGTTCGGGCCAAAACTATTTTTTTTTTTTCAATTTTTTTTAAATTTTCGGGTTGGGCTGGGTATTTTGGGCCATTTAGGATGTTTTGGGGGGTTGGGGGTGGGAGGGAGGTTAATTAGGAAGAGGGGGGAAAATGATAATGGGCCCGGCCAGGCCCGGACCGGGACCGGACCCAGTGGTTACCCGGGCCGGTCCCGGGTCCACCACTCCTGAACCGCCGGCCCGCCCGGGCCTAGGCCCGACCCAACCCAGCCTGGACCCGAGTCCATCCCTACATAAAAGTAGATTTTTTTACTTGCACTAGGAATAATAATAAAGTAAAATTGTCTGTATGGTTGAAATTTGTGTGAATAATAATACTAATAATAATACACTAAATAGAAAAATGTAGAAAAGTTTAGTGGGAAGAGGGAAGTATTTTGTATTCCATTACTTTTATATACGTAAATAACAAAATTAGCAATATCTTTTGTAAATTACATGAACGTTTGAAGTATAAATCTTTAAATAAATGAATTCTTGTTCATACTCCCTCCGGTTCTTAATGAAGTTTACACTTTGATTTCACACATAATAAGGAAATAAATTTGACTTTACTGTAGAGTACACTGTTTGACATTGTCTTGCACTATTTTGGTGTAGATTGTTTGCCAAATAAGAAAATGTAAAGTTTAATATGGGACTTTCCAAAAAGGAAAGTGTAAAATTCATTAAGAACCAAAGGGAGTATCAAAGAACGCAAAGATGCAAATGGCCAAATGACAAAATCAAGGTGTAGTTCCTCCATAACCTCTTAGAAAGAAACACTAAACATACAATTTGATCAACAATCAATAGAGTTAGTTAGTCACCAGCAGAAACCGTAAAAGTGCTACGTTAATATCTTACATGGTCTTTGAAAGTGTTGTACATTATTCGATCCTAGTCAAACACGAATGCATCTAGACGAATTCTTTCTTTAAGCACAGCCAAAGAACTGTTCCAAGGAAGTTGAACTGGAAACATTGGAGGGCACTTTCTCTGTATTACTTGGTGAAATGTAAAGTTGATTTTTTATGAATCTCTGCACCCCGTTAATTAGCAAATATAAATCAAATTTATGCATGATCAAAGCAAATGTCTTGTCAAAGCATGATACGGAATATTATGATTGGTATTAAAAAAATGCACCTACCGCTAATTGGGAAACAATCTCAAGATTTGTGTCTACATGCCAATCAGGTTCGAGTTGCCTAACAAAAGATGTCCGTCCAATTTCCGTGCTACAAAACAGAACCTGCACGAGAGCATCATACGGAGTATAAAACAAAAGATCTTGAAATTCATGATAACCTCCATCCATATTCATAAGGTCCAACCCATTCATACATAATGAAATATGGGCAATTCATCCTGAGGATTTTCAATAAAAACACAACTAGTTGATTTTTTATTTGATGGGGACTAGTAGAGATGAATTGGTTTTTGTAATATTCCCTGTGTCTACATCATCATCATCATCATCATCATCCCAGTGCCACAAAGGCTCCCACCGATGGTGGGCTAGGAGGTCGGATGTACGCAGCCTTACCCCCGTACTAAAGCACAGAGAGACTGTTTCCGAATGACCCAAGGTAGGATGGACTGACTGGTGCTTCCTAACAAAGAAAAACAGACATTTTATTGAGCCATTTTGTGGTATTCCAACATATTCCCAAACCAAAGAATAGTGAATCTTTGGCTCCATTGCGAATAATGGAAATTGTGTCTACATTATCTATGTACTTTTTTTCATCTGTCCCATAATTGTTGTTTATTTATTTTAAAGAAAACAATATATGGTTCACACTTTTTTCTCTTTTAATTAAATATCCCGAGCAAACTTTTCTTTTTTTAAACTGTCATGAGTCATATCGGCACTAATTTAGGGGTGGAGGGAACAATAGTACTGAGAGAAATGGGAAAATATTAAGAGCTCTTTCAGAAGGCTTCACATTTTGACTTCTTAGCCCACTTTATCACCATATACTAACTTGTTTCACTATTCTAGAAAAACTGGTTGGAAACTGAAAAAGGTACACGAGTTACTTTTATTTATGTGTTTATGAAATTCATTATTCTACCTCTACTTTTAGATATTATCTCCATAATGTATTTGCATTATTTACACATAGCTAACACTACCATTTCAGGCACAATTTCAAAATTCCATAGGTTCAGCCAATTCAAACATTTTAGCTTTACCAAATGCACCAAGTTCTAAATACCTTGTCCTTCACAAAGCCACCAGATGTAAATACTTCAGCATCTTCTAATGCAAGAAGGACCTTTTTCTGCACATAATACTTTTTAGCGTAAATAAGGAAGAAAATGCAACACAGAGTATGAGTCCAAAAAGCCTGATTGCATAAATATTAGGATCCAAAAATCCACTTCTTCATAATACTATATATGTGAGTTTTATTGATCCAAATAACAAAGCTAAGAATGACTACTTACTTCAGTTTCGTCATCAAGAACTCTCTCCATGAGATAAAGATCGTAGTGTTTGGTAATCTCGAGCAACACTTCTCGCACAGATGACCTTACTGTTACTTGGTTCTAGAGCCATAGAAGCGCTTTTTTGTAAATGCAATTCTTAATATATGTCACTAAAAAATAAAGCAAGTAGCAAGTAATGAGACAGGACAACCAACAATAAATAACCTGAAGCTCCTCTGGGCTAGTTTCTTTTAGGATCACACCAAGTAACCGACAAGTTACCTGCATAATAAATATGTAAATGTCACACCAACTAATGTATACCAAACTTTCATTATTAATTCATTTTTTGGGTGGCAGCAAAAGGAATTAGGCCATATAAACCATGTTTTGTGAAGAACCTATCAGAAAGCTTGTAGGGTTTGATTCTGAATTTGCTATTTGACCAGATGTAAATTGTAGGGTAAACAAAAATTTAACAGTGACAAGTCATTTCTGTCAAGCACTATAAGCCTCTATGGTACATGAATTCCTTATTACTACATGAGTACTACTTACAGTCAAAGTATATTTACGTACTGCATATTGTAAAGTAGCTATGGTTTTTGTAGGGAAGCTGTCATAGCCTCCATATAGGCCTATAGCAGGTTACGGCCACATGGTAGTATGGTACAACTTTGACTCTATGACAAAGTCAGCTAGAACACCTAGAAGTGTCTTTAAAGGGGGGCCCTCCAAAGCCCTAATGTGTCTGTATATACTTCAGTCAGATTGTGAGTGTATTCACAACTTAAAATGAGTAAGGTTTCTTTTGAATTATCAACATTCATCAAAAGAACTGTTATTATTACTTAGTACAATTATTTTTATTTGAAGCAAATCTCCTTTAGTTTAGCCAGTAAATTTTAATAAATGCCTAGTAATTTTTTATATTCGAAAGTTCATGCACATCTAAAAATAGTTATGCAGTTTAAAATTACAAAAATACATAATTAGCATCATAAGCAATGAAACCAATCAGTCACAGCAAAGAAAGAATGCCTACTATAATCATGTTTGTTCTCCAAAGCATAAATCAAGTCATTAAAGGATTAAGATAACATTTTAAATCATTAGAGGGCAGCAGATTTTCTCACTCAAAGAAATAGGCCTTGTTGGTTCAAGCTTATTATCTGTTTATCTAATGTTGCACATACTTATTCCAGTATATTTAATGTACTAACTCAGTCTTAAAAAGAGTCTTGGGGTACAAATGTACAACTTTTAAATTTTACAATACATGAATACAACAGTCACAAATCATGTATCATACTTATATTTACTTTGTTTGTCTAAATTTATTATATCTAGCGTGTGCATGACTCTTTTTGTCAAACATTTGGCAAATTACATTAACAACTAGACTTGTTTTATCAGACTGGGCTTCTCTTGCTCTTTTTTCCGGGGGGGGGGGGGGCAAAAGTGTTGGAAACATAAGTCTTTTTACGGAGCCTTTATTTGTGTATCCTAATGATAAGAGCTTATCTTCAGTCCTCATCCAAACTAGGCCACACTCTGTATGGAACAGAGAACGCTGGGAGTTGAAATTTACCTTCCTTGCTTCACCCAACCTGTTCCTCACAATCTTCCCCAAAATTGGCTGCAAGACCATGGGTAGAAAGATATATTTGATCAATACATTTTAGACTCATTGAAATAGTATTCTTGAAGTTAGGGGGGAAATTATCACTCAACTGTTAATGGCTGAGAGAGATTTTCAGAGATACTTGAACCTACAGGCAGAGTGACACTTGCAGCTGTTGTTGGTGTAACAACTGAGTTTCTGTCATCACTGCTTGCACTGGAAGTACTTGGTCCACCAGTTTGCGGCTTAGGCCGTCTTCTCTGGGCCCCACTAGGCGATCTTAACAGTGTCCAGGCAAAAACTACTGCAAATGCTAGACCAGCAAAGGCCCCAACAGATCTAGTATCCTGAAATTACCATCGTATGGATAAAAATAGTATAAGTGGATGCCAATATGCCATGGCCCATAAATATGTATTCCAGCAAGACTATTACACAACTAAGCACACTGCCACAGTAAAACAAATTGAGGCATAACAAAAAAAACATTCACGTCTCCCATATATGCTTCTCCATTGCAATTTCTCTAGAGAAACCTATTCTAAGCACCTAGCATAGCACTGGGTAGAATGAAATTGATGGTAAAGTATCTCAATGGAATATGAGATGGCTTGAGTTTCACAGTCAAGCCTTATAATTTTGCAAAAATTGGACTGGTCACAGCTACCAAATTTTGCCAGCAGCTTAGATTCATCTCCATCAGTAAACGAATCTAATCGTGTCCAACTTATTTTAGAAGAAAATTATTTATATTCAACCACAAAAAAGGAAATGGCTAAATCAAAAATCAATACCTGGGGAAAAAGAATAGAATTTGAAACAATAACATGAAATGCGAGAAATATAGTTTTTCCAACACCGAATAGGAAACTATTTAATCAATCTGTTTTTAAAGAACATGAAATAGGAAGGAAGATTTGAAGACATTGGATATCTTGACGGAGAGAAAATTGCGGAATCGCTTGAAGAGCTGGGTGAAACTGTCTTTAGGGTAATCTGCCATGCCAAACTGAAATTCGATTCTTGCAAATGTGACGCCTTCCCGTAAGAGAAGTCTTCAACAATGACGAGCCTACGAATCAATTGACGAGTGAACGACTCCCCTCAATAAGTTGAGCTGCTTCTAATTCGACTGGTTTGGGAAAGAAACAATCTGCAGGTAAACCAATATGAAAGTATATACTACCACTGGGGAGAAATGTTCCTGCCCTAGACGATGTCAAGTCGGAGAAAGAAATCGCCACTTTGCTTCAACGACTGATTTTCTACATTCCCTTTCTTGTTCCATTTTTTTTTTTTTACATTTTTAATTTGAAGTATAAACCAAGTGAACTCATTTTTTACCCGAGAAGCTTCATTCATAGAATCATAGTCCTACATTCATTATTGAAAAAATGGTTAAAATGATACATGAAGTTGTTTCGACGGGAGTAAGTAGGCCTTTATCTTGCTTTTAAAATTTTAAATTACATGAATTTTATTTTTATAGTCGATCAAGTACATCTTTTTTGTAAGAACATTAAAATAGCTGATCTGGGCAAACTATCGGTTTGTATTATATTGTTGCAGTCCAAGTCATCAAATAATTTATCTATAAACTCTATTTTTCTCCCGTTCACTCATTTTCACCTTCGCTCATCATCTTATATTTTTCTCGTCCGCTCTCCCTTTTCTCTGCTCTACATCTTATATTTCTCCTGTATGCTCTCCTTGCTATCCTGTCAGCTTCTTTTTGCTCTGTTTTATTTTCTTCTTCTTCTCTTACTATAATAAACATGGACCAATAACAAATAAAAGAAGAAGCCGGCAGGATAGCAGGGAGAGCAGCCGAGGGAGAATGAGAGCAGCAGGGGCAGAGCTAGAGGGGGTTAACCTAGGTCCTTGTTCATCCCAAATTTAAAAAATGTTTTAATTTTAAAGAAAAAATTATGTGTATTTTTTTCAAAATATTCTTTGTATTGGTCCAATCTGGCCCAGTGCCCTGGCTCCGCGCTTGGAGAGCAGACAAGAGAAATTTAAGATGCAGAGCGGAGAGAATGAAGAGCAAACGTGAGAAATATAAGATGAAGAGCGAAGGTGAAAACGAGTGGACTCGAGAAAATTAGAGTTTATAGATTAATTATTTGACGGTTTGGACTGCAATAGTATATTACAAACAAAAAACTGATAGTTTGTCCAGTTCAATTATTTTAATCTTTTAACAGAGCAAATGTACTTAATCGACTTTAAAAGTGCAAGTTCATGTACTTTGTAGTTTCAAGTGTAAGATTGAGTACTACTCTCCACTTCAAACTAGTTCATATACCATTTTGACCATTTTCTCATTGATTATTATATTTGATGGAGTATATGGGCCTGGACCCCAGGGCCCACATACTCGGGAGAACAGAAGGTACCACGACCACCTGGTGGGACCCTCGTCGGCCAGATGACCCCCATCGGCCAGAAAGAAGTCTACTCAGAATGTGACCCAGAAGCCGGGAAGAGCCGGGTGACCTCATCGGCCGGGTCTTCATCGGCCATGCCCTCGTCGGTCATGCCCTCGTCGGCCATAGACAGTCTCCAGAACAGGATTTACACTTAATCTTTTCTATGTACTTTGTATCCGGCCCATCAGTGGCCCTATTGTAGATGGGCCTCCCAAGCCCAAGACTTGGGAGCCCAGCCCTAATTTTTCCTATAAATACTCCCTCTGGGAGTAGTTGTAAGGGTTCACAAATTCATTAATACAGAGCAATTGTAGCACTTCTCTCTCTAGCTCTCACTTCTCTCTAGACTTATAGTCTATCATTTGGTGCTTTCACTGAGAGCTAGAACAATCAAGTTAGCCTCCTTCATCGCTACCAAGCACATCTAACTGACAATATGAAGAACTAAGTCAAACCGCAACCTCCTCGGCAAGGCCATCCTTGAGGCCCAAGAGAACCAAGAACACGAGGAGGACGCCACGGCCGACAAGGCCGCCGAGGGGGATGTCTTCCAGGAAGTCATCGACCTCGCAGGAGACCTGCGCAACAAGCTCAACGGCGGCGCCCCTGACGCCCGCCTCGGCTTGGACAAGAAGCGTGCGGAGAAAGGCGACAATGCCTCGGCGCAACCGGCCTCTCCTGCTGTTGACCCTCAGCTTCAGGCCGCGCTCTCGGACATCATCGCCAGCTTGGCCCAGAACCCCACCGTCCTCAGCGCACTCATGCTAAGGAAGGGGGAGAACACGCCGCCGCCTCCTCAGCCCCAGCCATTGGCCGTCAGGCTAGGTAACGATGAGGGGGTGGTGCCCCAGGACACGACGTCATCCCACTCCCGGCCACCCTGCTTCCCCTCTTCAAGCTGGACCGACCCTAGCGCGTGGAAAAGCCTCAACCTTTAACAGGCTAGGTGACACGTGCCATCGGCCTGCTTCGGAGAGGATGGCAGGGCGGATTGGGCAGCGTGAGCCTGACTCACCCAGGGAAAGCTTGGGGTCGGTATCCCGACAGCGGATCGGCCCCGCCTGGACAAAGGCAAGGGGAAACTGCATGAGGATGATGCTCGTCACCAAATGAACACGGCTTATGCAGCCCGCTTGCAGACTCAGGGCGCCACCATGGCCGCCAGGGACCCCAGGGACGAGGTGATCGCCCAACTCGAGCGAAGGCTCGCCCAGATGGAGGCCAAACAGCTGGCCGCCACGCCCACCGGCAACTCATCCAGAGATCCCGGCTTAAACGCCCTTCTAAACAAGGTCACCATCCTTGAGAGGGAGTTGGCCGAGGGATGATGACACCCCATCATCCAGGTCAGGACGAGGACTCCCTTCACCGCTAGGGTACTCTCGACCCCCATCCCCGAGAAGTACTGGGGAAACGCCATCAAGCCTTACGACGGTCGTTCCGACCCCCAGGAGCACTTCAGCCGCTACCAGAACAATATGTTGATGGTGAACGCGTTAGATGAATACCTCTGCCACTGGTTCAGTGGTTCAACGCGCTCCCCGAAGGGAGCATAGACTTGTGGCAGGACCTTGCCCAGCGCTTCCTCACTCACTTTGCCGGAAGGAAGCGCGCGAAGAAGTACTTCACCCATCTTCTCTCCGTCAAGCAGCAGCATGACGAATCACTCTAGTCATTCATCGACCGATGGACGAGAGAGACTGATGAGGTCGAGGGGGGCGATGAGCGCACCCTCCTGGTCCTGTTTCAGGGTGCCCTCCGCAGCACCCCATATGCGAGGAGCCTCATCACTGACCCGCCGAGGTCCTATCTGAAGGCGCTTCAGCGAGGAAACTTGTACGCTGACGCCGACGAGCTCCACAGCCACAAGAAGGATGGAGGGCACCCCTCCAGGAAGACAAACGCCGCGCCAGCTGCAGGCGCACCCTCGGCCGGGCACCGTGGACAGGGAGGACAAGGCCGTCATGGTTCTGGCGGAAAGAACAAGGACCGCATATGGCGGCCGAGGATGGAGAGGCCGAAGATCCCACTTAGTCATCCGGTAAGCCCCATCCTCGATTACGCCGAGGAGCACGCCCTCATCGAGCGAGACCCTCGGTTGGCCAAGGAGATCTACGCCGTCCATCAGGGCGGCACCTACTGCCGTTACCACCGGAACACCTCCCACAACACAGACGACTGTGTCACTCTGAAGAGAGCCATCGAAAAGCTAATTCATCAGGGAGAACTCTCCCAGTTTGTTAAAGGTGGCCCGCGCCAAAATACGTGGGTAAACACCGGCAAACATGGGGGCGAACCCTCTGCGAAGAAGCGCGAGATAGGCAGACTCAGCGATGACGACGAGGACTTTGAAGAGCCCCCCCCCCCCCCCCCGAAGAAAAACCACATCAACCTCATTGTGGGGGGCAACATCGGAGGGGAGTCGGCCACCCAGAGGAAGAAATGGGCCCAATCCCTTTACATCGGGGAGGTGTCCCACGCTCCCCCCAGCCGAAGAAACAACGGGCGGAGGCGCCACCTTCACCGACAAGGATCTGCCTCCGGGGCCAGCATCACAGAGGGATGCCCTCGTCATCCGGTGCGAGATAGGTGACTCTATCATCCACCGCACCTACATCGACACGGGGAGCTTCGTCAACGTCATGTACCTTGACACCTTCAGGCAGCTAAAGCTGGACAGAGCGCTGCTCAAGCCGATACGGACACCGTTGTCTGGCTTCACCGGGGACTCAATCGACGCTGAGGGCACAATAGTCCTCCCCGTGGAGGTCGGTGACGGCTCCCATCGCACCAAGATCGACATGGAATTCATGGTGGTCAACCTCGAGTGCGCCCACAACTTGATATGGGGGCGGCCAGCACTAGAGGATTTGGAAGCCATCATTTCCACGAAACATCTGTGCCTGAAGTTCCCCACCAGCAGCGGTATCGGCTACGCCCGGGGAAACCAGAAGATAGCCCGGGCATGCTACCTGAAGCTGACAAAGCCGACAGCTAACACCGGGCAGAGAATAGACACCATCACCGCCGCCGTCGCCAAAGACGAAGAAAGGACGCACGCCGAGCCAGCCGAAGAGGTCGAGGAGGTCCCCCTGGATACCTCCCGGCCGGAGCGGGTCCTGAATATCGGGAAACAACTCCCACAGGATCAACGCGACGGTATCCTCGACGTCCTGCGGTCATACTCAATCATTTTTGCGTGGGGGCCGGACGATATGCCTGGCATCAGCCAAAAAGTGATCACTCACCGGCTGTCAGTCGATCCCGCCTCCACGTTGATCAAGCAGAAGCGGCGCTACCTCTCGGCCGACAGACGTGACTTCGTCGGGGGGGGGGGGGTTACCATGCTCCTCTCAATCAACCACATAAAAGAGGTGAAGTACCCAACCTGGTTGTCCAACGTCGTCCTTGCCCAGAAGCCACCGACGTTCAGGATGTGCATTTATTACACTGACCTGAACAATGTGTGCCCTATGGACCCGTTCCCTCTCCCCAACATTGATCAATTGGTGGACTAGACGGCGGGGTGCGAGCTGATGTCATTCCTTGATGCCTTCAAGGGGTACCACCAGATATTCATGCATGAGGATGATGCCGAGAAGACGGCCTTCATGATCCCGGAGGGAATTTTCTGCTACCTCGTCATGGCCTTTGGGCTCAAGAAATCAGGCGCCACGTACACCAGAATGGTAGCCAAGGTCTTCAGAGCAGTCCTCGGCCGGACAATGGAGGTGTACGTCGACGACATGATCGTCAAGAGAAAGCAATCCGCCAGCCATGCCGACGACCTCCGGGAGATCTTTGAAATCATGAAGAAGTTCCAACTCCGCCTAAATCCAAAGAAGTGCACCTTCGGCGTCCAGGGGGGCAAGTTCCTCGGCTACATGGTCAGTCGAAGGAGCATTGAAATCATTCCGGAGAGGATACAGGCCATTGTCAACATGG